TAGCACGAGGATTACATAAAGGCACGAAATGGTTACAGATGTTCGCTATCTCGTCAACACTGGCGCGAAATTCAACGTCCTTCCTGCAAATTCTGACGATCGTACACATGAACGAATCTTCAGTTTGCGGATGGCAACTCGTAAGCCGATCTTAATGTTGGATTACGCAAACCTATTCACTAGTTCTTTGTTATTGAAGAGGGCCCTACGCCGATCATTGGTATAGATCTGCTGCAAAATCATAATCCACTAATCAACTTGAGCAAGCAGAGGTTACTAGACTGAACTACTGAATTATCAGTCTGTGGAACTTCATTTTATGATTGTAAGTTATCCTCTGCCACCATTAAGCACATAATCGACCCATACTACATACGGATATTCGACAAATACTCCGAACTGTACCAGACGTTACCAAACTTGCTGTGAGTAATAAGTGATGCTACTCATTAGATCCCATTGATATGTTTGTTGATTGCCGACTGACACTGAAGTCTATTTAATCTATCAACCAATCGGAAGAATTACGCACAAATATATGACCAAGAATCAAATCAATGGGAGATGCAATCAAAACAAAGAAGTAAGCAACGACAGGTTAAAGGTCAACATTAGCCAATCAAGACCGAGGTCGACAGAACAAACTGTGAGTCATATGTGTAGAAATTCGAATACTTCACTTCCACATTAATTTTGTACCGATTAGGCTGTTCATTAAAAAAATGAGAGCTCCACGACCATACCATCCAGCGTACGGAGCAAGTCATCCGATGGAGCTAAACATTTTCGCTACCATCTTAATAGATCACATTTATATTGACAAATCAACCACTTTCCAGATGAATCTTTGCATTCCTACGCTACAAAATTCTGTTATAAATTGCTTTCGAATACTTGTAAAAAAGGCGTTTCGGACGACAGTGTTGTGAAGCATTATATATCCGTGATACTAAAAGTTACTGTCCTTATAAACAACGCAGACAAAATTTGCATAAAACTTACGATAAGTGACAGGGAAAATGACAAAAACACCTAATACCCTGGGCGAGTAGAAGTGGTGGACAGAATTATAGCGAACCTAAAAAAGAAGTTGGAGGTGCTCAAAGCCCAACTCTCATTGGCTTTGTATGTTTTGTTGCTCGAGCTAAACATTACTCATATAGGAAGCGATTAGCCTCCTAGCGTTGGCTAATAAGAAGGTTGACGAGTGCTGTACTGGTAACTTGGGTACTGATGGCGAAGATTGCGTCAGTGCTGTCACGGCACAAGCCAGACATCCAACTGTGCAACACTCAATCGAACAGCAGTGACCTGTGATCCAGACAAAACAATTAGTGTTCTGGGTAGTTCTAATGCAGATGCTACGACTGATAAAAAATGGATGATGCGGAAAGATAGCTTGAACTAATGCCCATTTACTTGATAAGTCCTTGGTGGACTCACAGACTACTCCTCGAAAGTCTCAAAGTGAAGCCTCGTCAAACATTGTTGCGAGTCACTCGCTTGACTCCCGTCACTCTGTAAAAATGAAAAGTAGTCGTAAGATGCCATTAGTTAATATGCAGGATCTAACATGACGATCGAAAGCCGTGAACACGGTTTAAAGAGAAGCTAAACCCCTTCCTAGTTTAATTATTTGGAATCTAGAGGAGTCGAAAGACAATGAACCTGCTAGAAGACATGCACATGACCTGCAGTTAGTAGAGTCTTTGGTAAGAAATGTACTACCTGGAGAGGTTTCAAGGTACATATTACAAAAGTAATACGACTTGGTAAATGGGTTGGAGGCGAGACCCAACCAAGAAGAATCCTGAAGCTGGTTCTCGGGAGTTTCGAAGAAAGAGACATATTATTGAAAAGCGCACCAAAAACTCGTGCCTCAAATATCCGTATTCGACCAGATTGGCCGCTTGAGGATCGAATCAAGTGGAAGAATGCTCTTACGGAGTTGAGGACTCGCAAATTAAATGGCGAAAATAACCTTACCATTAAGGGTTTTCGGGTAGTCAGGTCTTGGAAGCCAATGCTTCCGAGGCCTGTATGGGTAGAACGATTGATTTCCAAAACACCTTAAGTGTGTGCTACACGAACGCTCGTAGTCTTAGAAATAAAACGTCCGAGCTAAGTCTGATGGTGCAAGAATTATGTCCCGATATAATCGTTGTTACAGAAACTTGGTTCACCGTTGATATAGACTGTTCTCCTTTCATTGCTGGTTATATCTGTATCAGAAGTGATAGAGTTTCAAGTCGCAAGGGGGAGGTATAATATTATACGTTAGGGATCACTTTCGTATACAATCAACCATATCGGAGGCTCATATCAGTGGCACATGTGAGGTTGCATGTTGTAAGATTAAATCTAGAAATGGGTTAGTGACTATAGGGGGAATATACCGTAGTCCGTCTTGTCTTGCTGACGACTTTATCCTAAGACACATCTGTTCTTGGAGTATGGCAGAATGTTGTCTCATCATTGGGGACTTCAACGCACCGCATATCAACTGGATAGAGCTTACAGCTCCAGGTAGTGGTTTCGATAGCGACCTTTTATCTACCGTTATTCAGTGTGCACTTGTACAATGTATCACAAAACCGACACATATTGATTTGCATCATGTTCCGTCACTGCTGGACCTCGCCCTCACCCACCACTCTGAGGATGTCTTTGATATCCAGCACCTTCCTCCACTAGTGAACAGTGATCACGTTGTAATTCACTTTAAGTTTAGGACACATGGTATACAATTCGTATCTGCTCCACCCCGTCCCAATATCTGGCGAGCTAATATTCCGGAAATCAGAAACCGTGCTATCTCGACTGATTGGTCGGTCGACGCGGATGGATTGATCGAAGATGAATGGAATAAGTTTAAGGCTACATTCGAGTCCGTAACGTCGCCGTTTATCCCATGGTCAGCACGTAAGCTATCACATTGCCCTCCATGGATTAATAAGGAAACCCGGAAGCTGTTAAAGCGTAGGAAACATTTCTGGGACTTATTCTTGTTGACAGGTCATGCACCATTTAAGCGTGAGCAACAAATATACCGTAATATCTGTAAGAAAACCATAGCAAATCCCGTACCACTTACGAACGACAGTTAGTATATGATAGCCGTACTTGTCCGAAACGATTGTTTTCGTATGTTAAACGGCAAATGAAACGTAGTGATGGTATTCCCCCGTTACTGTTACACGAAAATTCAGAATTACTAGCTGAATCAGATCGAGCAAAAGCTGAGACTTTTTCAGACTATTTTAGCGAAGTCTTCTCTACGTTTATTGTAACAAATACTTGTCCCACTCACACCGAGATACCAACCATTGAATCTGTACAGGTGACTGAGGAAACTGTCCTTCCGTTGATAACTAACCTCAAACCTGGTAAGATACCGGGCCCTGACGGGTTACATCCACGGTTGCTGTCATCTCTTGCGGACATTATTTCAAAACCGCTTGCGACACTCTTCAACATGTCCCTCTCACTCGCCAACTCCCTAGAGATTGGAAGGACGCTATAGTTAGTCCTATATTTAAGGACGGTCAGCGACAGATAGTATCTAACTACCGGCCTGTCAGTCTAACTAGCATAGTCGTTAAGTTACTCGAAAAGATAATTCGGGTTAGGTTGCTAAGCCACATAGATTTACACAATCTGTTAGCTCCTGAGCAACACGGATTTCGTAACAAGCGTTCATGCTTGACTAACTTGCTTATTGCGAGGGAGGATTGGACAGCAGCCCTAGATCACGGTCTGTCTGTCGACGTGATATTCATAGATTTTAGCAAAGCGTTTGACAAGGTTTCACACGTAGGTCTTATGCAGAAGCTCACGAGCTTCGGAATAATAGGTACTGTACATGAGTGGATAGGAAATTTCTTATGTGACCGCAGACAGAGAGTTAGGGTCAATGGAACGCTATCCGATTGGAAGCCGGTCAAAAGTGGTGTACCCCAAGGCACCATCTTAGGCCCTCTGCTCTTCCTTCTCTACGTTAATGAGTTACCGCTGTTACTTAGGTCGTCGACATTATTGTTTGCGGATGATGTAAAAATCTGGAGAACAATAAAAAGTGCGGCTGATCATGTGGATCTTCAAGCTGACTTAGACGATTTAGTTAGATGGGCTCGAGAGTGGGGCTTAGAAATCAATGCTAGGAAGAGTGTACTAATGCACATCGGTCACGGTAATAGTTACCGTTACACTATTGAGGGTAAACCTCTTCCATGCGTTCAAGAGCATAAGGACTTAGGAGTAATATTAAGTCATGATTTAAAAACAACTGCGCATTGCAAAGCAGCCGCTGTCAAAGGTTTTCGTGCGTTATGGTCACTTCGCCGAGCGTTCAAATCTTTTGACGAGGAAACGTTTCGAATTTTATATCCCATATATATTAGACCACATTTAGAGTACTGTATCCAAGCAGCTAGCCCGTGTCTGGTAAAGGATACTAACTCCCTTGAGCGTGTCCAGCGTGTGGGAACGAAATTAGTGAAGGGTCTTTCTAGACTCCCTTACGATGAGCGCTTAAAACGCCTAAATCTTTTCCCCTTGTCGTATCGTAGGACACGAGGTGACCTTATACTGGCATTTCGTATCTTTAATTATGATTTGGGTGTTAATATGTCTTATCTTTTTGCTCCCTCCAGCACTAATAATCTCCGAGGTCATAGCAAGAAGGTTCATAAACCACGATCTAATAAACTTAAAGTGGGATCCCGTTTTTCTCATCGAGTAGTCAATCATTGGAACGCCTTACCCGAACAAGTGGTATCAGCCCCATCAGTGAATACTTTCAAGGAGAAGCTGGACCTTCACTGGAAGGCAATCTGTCAGGATTAACACAGGTTTACCAACCTGCTATTTGGTGATCACCTCCTATTAGACACGGAAGCCTTTTAAGAGAAAGCTTCTTCTATTCCGTCCACAACCATTCGAACTTGTCAGTTTGACTATATAATGGTGACAAAACAGCCGCAAATTTAACATATTGCGTTATGGATACTGTGTTGTATCCAATAGTTATTGCTGTCGTTGTGTGTTTTGTAACTGTTATACTATATTGGTTATCAGTCAGAAAGAGACTTAAAAACGTGTTGTTTATTGGTGCTTGTGATTCAGGGAAAACAACTCTTTTTTCATCTATTCTATATGGAAATCCATCTTCCACTTTTACATCTCTCAATGAGAATGTTGGAAATCTGAAAACAGATAAAAAAGTATTGAGTATCCTGCCTCATATTGAAAGGCTCTTGTTCTTGTAGATGTTCCCGGCCATGATAAAGTTCGAAACGAGATAATTCACAAATATAAGTCGGACACTTTGTATGTCTTGTTAGTTACTAATCAGTTCTAGGGCATTAGTATTTGTCATAGATTCAAAGTCTATTCAGAGTGACGTAAAAGATGTTGCTGAGTAAGTCTTCATATTTTGTATAACAATCGCCGATACGTTTTGTAGGTTTTTGTACAATATACTTGTGGATAAGGTTTTTATAAAGAATCGCGTAAAATTACTAGTAGCTTGCAATAAACAAGATGCTACCACGGCAAAAGGTGTCAGTGTAGTGACTCATTTGCTTGAAAAAGAATTGTAAGTCATTCAATCTTAACACTACTTTGTGCATAATTATTAAACTATTTATTAATTCTTCCTAGCGTTTGAAGGCTTTTTTGATTGAATTATATCATGCTGTAAGCAAAGGGGTTCTGGAAGAGATCGACACAATGGAATAAGTGGGTCAGAATCTTTGAAATTACAGGTCACCTTTATTCAGATATTTGGGACATAAATTCTATAAATCCCTCTAAATTTGTACTGTAAAGATTCAGCTAGACATGTCACAACAGTACAAAGCTTTTCATAGGCTATTATGTACGAATGCAATTCGCCATCGTGAATAAAATGTGACTAACAAAGTGGCTTTTTTCATTGTATTATTTGCTAGAGATATTGATTAAAGCTCTTTTCTAAATCATGCTTAACATCATAAGTGCCGATATACACATCATTTTTTGTCCTCAGATACCCACTTTCGTTTTCACTGTGATTGTGGTACAATATCATACTTCGAATCATAGGTTTCGGTGTAGAAGACGGAGGTAGAATGACGTCAGGTAGTTATTGAAGTCCTAAATATCCACCACGTAATAATTCACATTTATCTTCAAAAGTCGTCGAATATTAATGCACTAACGCTCACCAGATTAAGGTTGGCCAATATGACACTTAGACTTACATCATTGGGAAGTTTTCATGTGACTTGATCATTTTCATAATCTTTGATGCACCATTACACTTGTTGGGACCACCCGTCCATCCATACCACCAACGAGTTGAGGTCATCCTGTAATACTATTCTGTCTGATATACTGTGTGTGGATCTCCAAATCATTATGTCATCGGCGAAGAGTAGAACAGATGACTTTGCTACAGTTGGTAGTGCATTTACATAAAGTAAAAAAAGAGGATGGAGGATTGTGCTTTGGAGAACCCCACTTTTTACACGCTAAGAGAGCTCCACTTACCCTAACGCTTTATCTCCTGTCATAGAAAAAGTCGCTTATCGAGTCTATGACCTTATAATGGATTCCAAAACTTTCCAGTTTTAATTTAAGACTAGAATGAGAGACCTTGTCAAATGATTTACTTAGATCTATGATAATTACATCTACAGGAATATTTTGATCTTTTGTTTCAGCCCAGTCTTCCTTTGTAATAAGCAGATTTGTCAAAAATAATGGGCCTTTCCTAAAACCATGTTGTTCCCTTGGTAAAAGATTATGCCGTTCCACATAGTTTATAAGAACCATCCGAATAATCTTTTCCATTAGTTTTACAGCTGCACTGCTTAAACTAATGGGTCGATAGTTAGCAAATAAGTTTCTACTCCCCGCCTTATACACTGGACTAATTATTGCGTTCTTTCAGTCTCTTGGCAGTCTGGATTGTCCCAGAGACATATCAAACATTATGGCCATCTGATAGGACTTTCATAATCCTAGAGTGAATATCATCAGGGCCACTGGACTTATCAGGTTTGAGATGCTGAAGTAGTCTTAAGACAGTACGTTTCTCAATAACTACAGGGTGCATCAACAAGCCGCCCTGATCACGATCAATTATTAGTCGTTTCTCGTTGTCGGTAAAAAACATCTTACTAAAATATTCCGATAAATCTTCATCTTTTTCGGCACCATCTCTTGCCAATGTCGACTGATTTTTTTGGTACCAAAAGTGGTAGGGATCCAACACTTCTCCGTGTTCACCTCCTTTTGTACGACGATAATATTTTCGGATTATTTTCACAATCCTTAAATAATTGTTTTTCAGTTGATCGTCTAGTCTTACTTATTAACGCTTTACAAGCATTCCTAGTCTTACAATAACTGGATCTATACTGTTCTAAGCCAGTAGATATAAACATATTCCAATGCTCTTCTTACGTCTAAGAAGTTTCTTGACTTGGTTAGTTATCCATGGAGGACAATTATTTGTTCTGCATAGTACTAGTCTGCAGAACAACATACCACTAACTGATAGGACCTTTTTAGGTAGATTATTTCATATAATTTGTCAACAAAAACTTTCTCACCCGGAAAAAGGTAAAAAATATCTGGCATCAAGCCTAAGCCTCTCTTGAGTTGCATTCAAAGTGCCCAATTCTAAACTTGTTCGATATATCTTCCAAACCTTATCGTCTGACTTTTTTTGATATGTCATTTGTCCACTACCTACATAATGGCATTTCTGTTGGTATTGCAAATTTTGAGGTCTAGGAAGTGGTGATAAAGATGGTAGAAAATCACGTGCTGAGTTTCACTTGTCGCCAACGAAACGTAGTCCGACAGTTTATTCATATAAAGCTTCATTTAATTTGTCTAGGCAAGTCTTACTCATATTAAACAGTCCTAAACTTTCCTTGTCTATTTGTATGATGAATGAATTCATGGTACAATCATCCAGTTTGAGCCTAGTCGGCATAGTATCAACTAGTTCCTTACAAATTTTAGAACTATAGTTTTCTTTCACTTGCTTTTTCTGTTCACTCTTTGATGTAAAATGTAGCACTATAGACACCACTGATTGTTAATTGTTATATCATCAAGAGTGACAGCTCCCTAAAGGTATGGACCTTTATACAACGATTCATCATTAATAGACTCCTAACAGTTTTGTTTAATTTATTTACACAGCGTATGTCATACTTGGGGAGGTTGATTATCAACTGACTGAATGTTGGGATAGCCTGTTTGTCATTGGACAGTAATAAATATCATTTACTTGCACCAGGTCGTAAATTCTGTGGACCAAGTAATATATCTACACCACATACTTTTAACTTATTTCCAAAGAGTATATAACATTATAGGGCATTGGTGAAACTGATGAACCGTAACACGTCAATGTGTATTACATTTTGTCTTTGAAGATCTATACCGTTTACTTTCCGTTAATAGAATGTTTTTGTGACATTTTTTAAACTCAGGAATACTCTTACATTTACACGTACTGGTGCGCTTGCTGGCCTTGATCAGTCCACCATATCAACATTGACAAAGCCGGGAGTGACCTTCACTTTTGCAAAAAGTCGTTTACCGGTGGATTTCGTTGAAATTTCTGCTACAAATAATGCTTCTGCAATTTATAAGTGGCTTGTGCAATTATGAGTTTGCGAGAAAACTTACTGTTATTGTATTAAAAGATACCTGAGTTCTCCTCTTGTTAATACATTTTTATCAACATTATGTTTCTTGTGAATATGCTGTAATTTCATTTCACCACTCCGTTGGATATTCATGAGTATTATCTGTCGGTCAGATTACTTACGGATAATATTTATTCTTTTGATGGTTCATAGTGAACTGCTACCTTGAAATTTTGTAGAATGAACTAGTATACTATTGCTATTATAAAGTGTAGGCATGAAAATGGTACCAATTTTATTGACTAAAATTCCGGAATAATGGATTCTTATCACGAAGGTTGGTTTTCTGTTTCTTTTCAGGTGTCAGTAGTGTTCCAGATACAAATGAACATTTGTCACGCTCCATCAGCATTCTTCTAGACCTTTGCCTTTCAGGAGTTTGGCATCCATTTCCTTAAAACTAAACTATGCAAGTAAACAGAAAACGTCTGAGGATTACCAGGCTGAGTAAAACTGATAACCCAAATTAAGAAGTTAGTAGAGGTGACCATACTGTTGTATCAACGTATTCCGTCTCATCCCTCATGATTGTCGGTCTAATTCGATTATTATCCCATAGTGAATCTACAGGCCATCTAATGTTTAGTAGATTAATATTACTTACTGAGCTTACTTGACTGATGAAATAGCTATCAGATTCACAGGTCATTAGAAACCCAGTAAACATTGTTGTGACGAAAAGATGCGAACTATATGCAACAGTAAAATTAAGAATAGACTGAAGGAAGATTTGACTCTAAACCTAGGAAGCCTCATTCACCGTACAAAACTAAGACGTCAGGTTAGTTGAGAGTTGGGTAGAGGTTGTTAACATTTTGGGAGAGTATATAGGCGTTAAATGTATCAGCGTAGTGACAAAGGTTTCTACACAAGTTTAAGTTCTCACCAGCTCTTTGGTATTAAGACATGAAATTCCTCACAGTATTCCAACAGTGGATAAAAGTAAGATCTGTAATAAAATATACATCTCAATCTTCGTTTACGGGAATGCTCTGACAATCCAGTCTGCCAGATGCTACAGAGGGTCGTTTTCCACGTTTGTGTACATGGGCAGGGATAGCAAGCCACTTTTTACGGTTAGGATTACTCAATTATTAGTCAGTTAAGGTCCTCGCGAACAATTTGACCTCAACAAATAACTCAATAGATTCCATGACAAACGTCAACAATATACGGTTTGATACAATGCAAATCAATCCAAGGTGTCACACTTCAGATAATCGTAGAGAGGAATATTATCACCTGCAATGGAGATCTAGATATAAGAAATACAGTCCAAAAAGGGAAAATGAAATCGAAGAATGAAAGGCTAGAGGTAATATTCAACTGAAAGTATGGGGAGAAATAGAGAATGAATATCAGTGCTTCTACACCATGTTAGATTTCCTGCCGTAAATTAGGACTTGCGAGGTACTCAACCAGGAAGTCTGGACCTCTAAATACTACTCGGTGGTTAACGATTTCATAGTGATTTCTATTCACTCGTTTTTCGCAACCAACTCCCAGCCAGCATTGTGTTGGGAGCAGCGGCCAGTCATACGTGGAACATGTCAGTGAGGCTTCACAGCCCCATTTTTATCTAACAACAAGCCTAAAGCATACTACCTTTTTAGTGGTCCCACTATATGCAAGTAATACTTCGAAGAGACAACCGAATGGGTACAGCCTATTTAGTGGCCCACGTTTCATAGCAATATAGTGCTGCACAGTATACTCCCCCATTTATAGACGAACGGACATCTATTCTGCAATTATTATTATCCTGAAAGAATAAGTATATATATTTGCGACTGTACAGCTTCGAAAATGAATCCGCCAAAAAAGCTCTTCGCTGAGCCAATCTTTCTTATTTAGTATTCTGCAGATCACGCAAGATAACAAATGAGAACGACCACTTAGAGCACCTGTTAGTATTTTTCGAGCCACTGTCTTAACCAGGGCTTATAGTGCCTGGACAAGCGTATCTTCTACTCCTATTGACTACTTCACTATGGCCAAACTTAGCATTGAAGTAAACGGCTTCTTAAACAATATTCGGGAAACACCTGACTACTGAGTCCTTTGTTCACATACTAATTAGCTTATTTCTTGCCAGCTGTCTCTTGATATCAATTCTTACCACAAGTAGCCTATATCCATCAATCACCACCCTGACCTGTCGTGAACTCTTACTTGCGACCCAAGCGGCTATGGGACTCATATTTGTATTCATATCCTGACAATTAAAAACTATTCACATGATTTAGTTACTTTGTTTTGCTTACCAACACTTGTTAATTTCTTGAAATACCGTAAACTCTGTTAGTCTTCCTAACTGGAAAGAAGTATTTACTTAGCAACTTATCTTTGTATTTACGGTACTTCTGGTGACTACTGGAACGGTTGTTTGTGAACTTAATCTAGAGCATTTTTTCCGTACTTTAAGTATATCACATCATATTCAGGACATAGTTAACAAGTTCGTGCACGATTAGTCGAAAGACGGGTTAAAATTCTGTCGACATTTTCACCAGAATCATGTCATCCTCACGCTCATTTCATCTAAATCAATTTCTAAGGACCAGTCCACGGCAATAGTGGGTGCCCCTGACAAAAACGTAATCAGTGCTGGATTGTACGCAGGCAATGTAATTGAGTCCTAAAAGGCTCTGACCGGATCCTTCAAACAATTGATGGGCGTCAGACCTGTCAACCAACGTAGGTGAGTTTAATTTGCTGAGGCAGACATTGGACTTCAGTTAACGGTCCCAAAACGTTGAGGGTAGATGTTTGGTTTCAACTTCCATTGCCCAGCGCTCTGTTCCGATTGAGCAGTAGACGACTATGATACAATATTCGGCAAGCACATCAACGTACGATCATCACAGAATATCTGCTTAGTCATAACCCGGAACGAACGAAGAACGCAGGTAGTTTGAAGGTATTATGTCAAGTCGACAAATAGTTGTCCTCAATTTTAGAGGTGAACGAAGAACTTCAAGGTAACCAGTCATGCCAAGCTAGCTAAGAATTAATAGCCTTTCCAAAATAATTGAAACGTTAGCTTAAATCACTAATCTGTCTGGAACCCATTTGTTCAGAGCTTCGCAGTTTCTGAAGTGCACAATACAGCAACTCGACTCCTTGCAGTATAGATGTACCTCAGGTAACTCTTCAGGCAAAACTGAATTTTTTCTGCAATTCGTATACACAGATATATTATTTCTGGCTCTAACAGGCCCGTACGGCAAATTTGATGGAATGTTTATATTAGAACAAGATCGCTTACCAATGTTTTTCTATGATGTTTTGCTAACAACGCGATTGTAGACAACAAGATGGTGATATGGTGCATCCGGATGAGTGAAGAATATTAATGTCTAAGACATAAATCTATCAGTAGAGGACTTTGAAACATAGTAACAGCTGAGTTCCTTACATGCTAATGATATACGGACCTCAATGGGAAGAAAACCGGAATCGGTTAGCGCAGAGTAGGTAAAATCCATTCTTTACTCCTAGTTCCCTTCATGAAAAGCCTTATTAATCTAAACTTTCATATAAACATGTTACAAAATGGTATGGCATGAAGCTGCTCGACCAACAAGCAGATTTTTTGATTATTCACCCGACACTACATACATAATCCCGAGCAGAACTAGGGAATCCTGATGTCAATGTGATTTGGATCTTCATATTTTAACACAATGACGAACTTCTTACAACTAAAACGAGTGGAATTTAGAACAATTGTAAAGTGACAAAGTTACAACTACATTACTAGTGCCCCACTTACAGATATTGGGATTCACGGTGTGTTGTGACATTGGTGCGCACCACCAACAAGAATTACAAAATGCTAAAACCGAATTCTCTCACTTTATTTTTACTAATTCACATGTTTATATGTTAGGGTACATTTTCCACAATATTCACGGTCAAAGTGGCTGGCCATAAAGACTCCTGCACCGCACTTCTCATTGGGACATTCTCTTCGTAACCGAGTTACCTTCCCATTTGAGTCAACCTGCAAATATCAAGATTACGCAGTAAAGTTTGTTACTTTGTAAAATTTTAGGGTTGCGAGTTTTACTTTTTTCTTTTTGTGTTTGATCTTTTTTGGAGTGGTATAATTCTTCTTTTTTCTCTTCTTCCCTCCACCTCGAAGTTCACAATTTACGTCGACATTATCTAGGTCAGCTATACCAAAATCTTCTAGAAATCCACTATCGAGTAATGGAGAGCCTTGATAATAAAGGGATTGAGTAGTAGCCCGAATGCCGGTTACAACCGAAATTTTATCTTTTAGTGACTTTACGGACTCATTTGGCCCCACAGATATTACAGCCTGACCACCAAGGTGGGATCTAACGAACAACCTCATATTAGCACGTTTACAACTAAAAAGCGCGGTCCTGTTAATGAAATGAACCAAACGAAAGTATGCATTACCATCATTGTTATAAGTTGGTCAATCAGCTTGTTAAGTAGAAAATTTCCTCGGAATTTGTAAGCAACAAGAATTTTATTCTATTGGCACGTTGCATTTTATTTTTAGTCAGTGCTGTGTTAAATGCAAAAGCGTCGCCGATATTGAAGAAAAATCGTAAATGAAATGGTCGATTATTGTCGATAATAGTTGAAAAGCCTCTATAAGCACTCCATTTTATCGTTTAAACCATCAGTTCAGTTATTTAAAGTAAATTATCAATCTGGTTTAGGTGGATATTTACTTGAGTCTATGAACACACACTGTTCTAGTTTTCTGTATATATCTCTATACCGCCGTACATAGTAACCCCTTTTCTATGAACAAAGTTCACTGCCTAGGGGCATCTTTCGAAACAGTCCATAAACAACTTAAACTCATGTTATGAGGCCTTGAATGAGAACGGGACGTAATGCCAGTAGTATAAGTTGCAGTGTTGTTTTAAATTTATCCCTAA